AACTCGCTTGACCGTGATGAAAAAAAAAACACAACATATATATATAAAAATTAAGAAGAAATAACAGAGGGTACGAATGTTAGAGAGAAAAAACAATAGGAACGAAGTGAACTGCTTGCCGTCTCTGGCCAGACTTCGGGCCTATTTTTGAAAACCTTTCATTTAACTCGAAGCTGAGTTCCCCGTATTTTTCTAATGACGACTTAATATTTTTAATGTCTTCATTGACTTGGGCGCTAAGTCGATTAACCGCTCCGAGAGATAAATAAATGAAGAACGTAAATAAACTCGCTTGACCGTGATGAAAAAAAAAAAACACAACATATATATATAAAAATTAAGAAGAAATAACAGAGGGTACGAATGTTAGAGAGAAAAAACTATAGGAACGAAGTGAACTGCTTGCCGTCTCTGGCCAGACTTCGGGCCTATTTTTGAAAACCTTTCATTTAACTCGAATGAATTATAATTAATTAAGCCACACCTGTCAAAGCCTGTAACAATAAATGGGTGTGATCTTTATTGATAGAATTGGCATGTCAGGCATGAGGTAGGCCGGTATCCGTCGGCACCTACTCCTAACTTGAAATAAAATAAAAAGTTAATCCAAGAGATCCCTTAACCAGGTATCCTTTTCGGCTTTCGTCGGCTGTTTTCTGGCATATGTCTCGTGGCTATGTTTTTTATAGGTATGTTGGTATGTTTGTGAAGTTTGGCATGGAATTTTTTATATGATGTCCAAATGTGATCTTGTACCATCTGTATGTTTGTTACTGACGTACCAGGGTGAGAGCGTGATGAGTCTTAGAGATTTTTATTGGAAAGTCTGTATTTTTTTAATTTGGGTCGTTTTTGCTATCCCGTAGATTTGCAATGAATAAATACATATGGACTTTAGTAAATAACTGTAAGCATTTAGTTTTTGTCTCATTTTAAAATTAGATCGTTTGTGTAAGAGAGAATTCAAAAGCCTTAGTCGATTATTTAAGGTAAGAGGTTTTTTTTAAATGTGTGGTCGAATGTGATTCCCAAGTAATGAACTGTGTTAGTCCGTTGTATGGGGACATTGTTTATATAAACTGGTGTACAAGTTTCATGTCAGATCGTGAAGGTGGTGTGCTGAAATTTATCACTGTCAATTATAATTTTCCATTTTTTAAACCATTCCTATAATATTTATAAATAATTTTGTAGTGTCAACGATGCTTGTGTGATGTCAACATGTCTGGTGAGAGTAGCAGTGTTATCTGCACAGGTTGCAATTAATATGTTAGAATAAGTTGGTATATCATTTGTGTATATAATGTACATTAAACATGCAACATCCCTGCGGTACTCCGGCCCTTAATGAATGTATGGAAGAGGTTTCCGATCCCTGTCGGACAGAGAAAAACCTGTTTGAAATGAAGGAGAGAAGAATGAGGTAATAGGTAGAAGGAAGAAATGATTTAAGTTTGTAGAGCAGTCCATCGTGCTAGACTTTGTCTAATGCTTGAACAACATCCAGAAATACGCCAATAGCGTATAATCTATCTTCTAGTGCAATTGGAATGTAGTCCGTGACGCTGTGAAGTTGGAGTATGGTTGAATGTAGTGAACGGATTCCGCATTGGTGTTCAGGTAGACTTTGGTTCTCTGTTAATATGTTGAGTATGCGTCTGTAAAATATTTTTTCAAAAATTTTAGAGCAAATCGGAAGTAGGCGAATGGGTCTGTAGGAGGAAGTGCTATTGGGATTTTTGTTCGGTTTTTGTGTCATTAGTATTTGTCAAAACTTCCATTGTAATGGGAATTTTGTTTTCCTTAATATGGCGTTGAATAGGGTTGTTAGATATACTATTCCTTTTCTTTTGGGTAACTTTCGAATCACTTGTAGTACTTCAGATGGGGTGAAAGCCGGAGGAGATAATATTAGTGGTAAGAGGATTTCAAGTGAATATTGTAAATAATTTTCATGTTCATTGTCTGGGTAGTCTGAGTGTGGTGTGAAGACAGACGATAGATTCAGTTCAGCATTGTCTGACATAGTTCAAGAACCATCCTCTTTTCGTGGTGGCGCAGACACCTCGCGATGCTTTAAAAGCTTTTTAGTTTGTTTCCATAAGCTTCCATCGTCGGTGCTGAGGTTATTTATAAAAGTATCATAGTTAGTTTGTTTGATTTTTTTATTTGTCGTTTAAGTTCATTATTTATTCGGTTATATGTCTGTTTATCCGATGGTAGTCTGTCAGTCTGTCATACCTTTCGAGCTCTTCTCTTGACTCTGATGAAATCCCTTATACACTATGGATAGTTAGGCTGGTTATTTATTTGTTTGTGTTTCGAAATTGAAATGAAAAAAATAATTTTATTCTGGGACTACAGTACCGTAAGAATAATAACAGAGTTACAAATTTATGGGTCTTAGTCTGGCTTAGAATAATAAAAAAATACAAACTAATTAACAGCTGATTGTTATTGCAATTGTGCAGCAGATTGAAATTAAACAATATACAGATGCAAGTAATTTTACATGTTAGCGGAAGTTTAAATGTGGAGTAGGTGATGGAACAGAAGTTGTTTGAAGGAATTTGTGGACGAGGATTGACGTATGGAGGTAGGAAGATAGTTCCAAAAAGGAGGTAGCACGAATGACGAAGAATTTGCTGAAGGAAGTGGTTTTATGGGACGGGATATATAAATCTATTGGTTGAGACCTGGTATTAAGAGAGTGGATAGAGGAACGTAAGGAGTTCCAGGATGTAGGGAGGGTTTTTGGTTCTAAAGATTTGGAAAAGAAAAGCACCAAGGAGGCATTGTTGTCGGGAAGTAGGATAAAGCCACTTCAACTTGGTGTACCAGAATGAAACATGTGAACGCCTTGGGATCCCGAAGATGTATCTTATGAAACAGTTCATGATTTTCGTCAGTTTCTTCATTGATGAGATCCGTGCATATTCCTGGGTGTTCTTTGTCAGTACTTCGACGGCTTCTTCGTTTTCGTTTCGATTCTTTAGTGAGAGAGGGACTGAAAACTGCTGGTTTAAGTTAGCTTGAAGAATAATTCCAATCTGTTTCCTTGAATAAGTGATGGGCATTTTTCCTTTTGACATGGTTCTTCAAAAAGGACGAAGTGTAGAAGAAAATGATCATAGAATAGATAACAGCTTGATTTAACAGTGTAAGGTATGGCCTGTAGTTCCAAAAGGAGGTAGCACGAATGACGAAGAATTTGCTGAAGGAAGTGGTTTTATGGGACGGGATATATAAATCTATTGGTTGAGACCTGGTATTAAGAGAGTGGATAGAGGAACGTAAGGAGTTCCAGGATGTAGGGAGGGTTTTTGGTTCTAAAGATTTGGAAAAGAAAAGCACCAAGGAGGCATTGTCGTCGGGAAGTAGGATAAAGCCACTTCAACTTGGTGTACCAGAATGAAACATGTGAACGCCTGGGGATCCCGAAGATGTATCTTATGAAATCTTTAGTAATGAAGAAGTCCAGTAGGTCAGGTGATTTTAGTGTCGATGTAGTTATTGGCCTTGGAGTATTTGGTGATATGTTGTTGAACGAAAGCTTGTCGAGTGCAGACCAAAGATTTTTACCTCTTGAACACAATCGCGACCATTGCAATGCAAGTGATGCTTAGTATTGTAGTCGCCACCAGCAATGAAACACCTTCCCTTTTTTCAAAGAAACTACATAACATATCGGTTGTCAGCGAGTAACGAGGAGGAAGGTATACTGCTGTTAATGTTATGGAGTGCAATGTTGTTAGCAGTATTATAACAGTTGCTTCTATGTTTGTATTTTCGGCAAATGTACAGGGTGATATTTTGACAATGATGGCAGTGTGAAGTGTTGTCTGGGTGATCTATCCTGTAAATTGTGTAATCTGGGATATTTACTTTATTTCGAGACATGAGGTGTGTTTCAGTTTTCAAAGCAATGTCAGTTCGTTTTTCATGAAAGTATATGACCAGTTCGGTTTTATTTTTTAGAAGTCCATTTGTATTCCATAGAAGGATGGATAGAGAATCCACATTTAAGCTTTCTTATTAAATTAGGGCGTGTCCGTATTAAATTAATTGATTTAGTTGGTACTAAAAACTCATTAAAACCCATTTGCTTTCCATTTTAATGGTGAGACAAGTTGATCACAACATCGAAAGAAAAAAATGGTTGCCTACAAAAATATTGTTCAATTTGTCCAATAAAACTTCATTATTTCGACTTGTTGGGGATGGAGCTCACGCCAAACGGCCCAATATTTTTGTAGCCCACCTTTATTTTCGATTTGTGATCAAATTATCTTACGATTCATGTCGAAAGCATTCGGCATTCATAAGTTATTAGTACCTAATTAAGTAGATAGAGTTTGCGATTAAGTAGATAGAGGATCTCCAGATTGAAATGCTTCAATTCCTAGAATTTTCGTAAATAAAAAGTTGTAGGTTACCATGAGACAAAGATATTCCCGAAGTTTTAGCGCGGATGTTAGTAATTTGAGGTAGAGTAAGGTAAGAGTTTTAGGGCGATAAATTACGAGATTATTACGCCCGTGTTAATAATTTGATAAAAAGGGTCTGTATCGTGGACTATATTCTATGGCAATCTTTAGTCCTAAAGATACGTTTAAGTATTTCACAAACTATGGAAAATCCAATTATCTAACTTAACTAACAACGATCATATTGCTAAACCAAACTATTTATTTTATTTCTCTTGATACCGACTGCAGATGGAAAATATCAAAACAAAAAATACTAACATACTACTAGTGTATTTATATATTTGTTTTTCCTATAGTTTGTGATATATCTAAAGACGGGTCAAGATATTATACATTCAACCATCCATTATTTCTATTTTGTTTAGATAAAATAACAACAATTCTTTAAATTTTATATTTATACTGATTCAAATATGGCTTAAAATATATATCTTTATCATTTTTAGTTTAAATTTCATTTCTCTATAGACGTTAGTTCTTTGATACGCTACTGGAGGCGCTAGGATCTAGGTAACATTGATGAAGAATGAAACTTAGCCGTTATTTAGCCTCTCGTGCTAAAGAAGCGCCATTTTCCTAGCCTGTTTCTGTTAGGGTGGTTGTACTCAGTGTGTCTGTTGGTGGAAACAAGCATTCAGTTAATACATCTTCAAATGACATTGTGGAAAGCTGGGGACTTCTGTGGATTCGTTTTTTCTAGTTGACGGCAAGGTTTTTGTTTTGGAATTTTGTATATTACCAGTGTTATCTTAATTGTTTTAAAGCCGCTTGCCGCTTCAGAAGTCTCGTGGATTTTTCGATATAATTTTAAAACTTTATTCAGGTAAGTTTAGTGTGATTTAATACCTCATTATTAAAGTTTTAGTGTGTTTAGGTGTATAAATTAATGTAAATTTACCTCTGAAGTATCCATGCCATGTGATGCTTTGTGGACTAGCACTACTAGCATTTTTAAACAAAGCTATCTCAGTTTATATTAGTGCACCCACTTCTAAAGAATTGGTTTCTTGATGCTTCTTTCCTTTTACATTGTAACTTCCTAGTTTTTCTAAAGGTTTGAACAACACTTTTAACTCTAGTAATCAAGCTTCTGATGGTGTATAGTTTCTATGAAATAGTAAGACCACTAGTTAATGAAGTTCTTCATTGATTTATTCGTTGAATTATTTTGCATACATAACATATTTTAATAAAAGAAAATTAGTATATTTTTATTGTTGAAACATAAGGTTACTCACATTAGCCTGAAGTTAAGAAATAAAGTCACCATACACTCAACAAATTGGTAACATTCTTAATTAATTTTCAATTAAAAATACCATTGTATTTTAGTATAGTGTAGTGTTTAAATTGCTTTACAAACCATACCCATTAGATGATGTTTATTTTAGAGTTTGTAAACAAATAAATACAATTCACCATATGACAAAAGACAACATACACTTGTAAACATAAAATTACACAAGTATCAGTGAGATGTTTAAGTAAGTTTTGTCTGATTCTTAATGTTAATAATGTTAGATGCGTTAATTTTAAAACTGAATAGCTATATCTTTGAATTATTTATTTAATCAAATGAGTATAATGTAGCATGAAAATCCTATAGTATTCACTATTCTTTTATTTAGCCAAGGAGTTTTCCTGCCCCTATAATTGAAACTTTAAATATTTAATTTTAATTAAAAGTTTCATCTATTTAACCAATAAGTGTTAGATCACAATATGCAGATTTTATTTTATAAAATCTGGTGCTGTGCGTGTATCACACAACTTTCATTCACCACCCTATCTTGAATAGAAAAATGTTTTCATATGTAAAGAAATAAAAACTACAGACAACATAACATACTCCTTTGAAATAATGAATTGCCAACCAAAACATTGTGTCCATGTTCAAATGCATTATTAAATAAAATATATATTTTCAAGAATTAGAAGAATGATGAAAAGTAATTTCTTGCTACTAGATCAATAAAAAAAAAATAAATCAATAAGAAATAAAAGTAAACCCTGGCAAAATAGGATTTTAAAAAATCTTAATCTCATTAGAAAAAAGATAGTAAAGTGGATCTTGAGTCAAAAGTGTGAGCTATATCCAGAACATTTATATAAAACAGAGTTAAAGTTAATATTTAAGATGACAAAGAAAGATGTGCAACCATGGAGCAGCTCCAAACGCAGCAATCTCACATGGCTGAGGATCGGACATATTAGACTGACACACCACCTCATAACAAAAGACCTCATCCCCAGACATCAAAAGTGAGACTAGACGTTAACTATAAAGCATGTTTTGGAAGGGTGCCCTTTTAACAATGTAAGGTTAAAAGATCTTGGAGTACCCCAGAATATATCAGCATCCCTGGAAAACCAGGAAGAAATCATTACTTAAGTTATGAAGTTCCTTCACAATGAAAGTCTTATAAAACATATATTACAAGTTTATCACTAATGATTCTCAGCAGTTTCTTTTTTAATTTTATAAGTTCATTTATTGATTGATTTTTATTTATTAATTAATTTTATTGCTATTTATTTTTCTCTTAAGTTTATTTATCTTATTATCTTGAAGTTTTTATTATTATCTTTATTTATTTTATTCTATTAATTGTTTTTATTTATTTGTTGTTGTTTTTTTGTACTAACCACCTAAACAGTATAAAAGTAGATTTATTTAGTTGATCGATGACCTAATCTGGATGTTTTGCGCTTAGACATCCAAACAAACAAGATAAAGGTTAATTACAGATGAATGAATTAAAATTTCAAACCTATTTTCTTAAGCAAAGTGACAAAGAAACATCCTTCAAACAAAGATCCTTGCTCCCTTAAAAAATCAACCAATTGGCTATTGTGGCATACCATTTTAGTACTTTGAGTGTTCTAGGTTCAAATTTACTTGTATTTGTACTCTCTTTTGGGCATATAAAGCTTGTTACCTGTTAATGATTTGAAAAGTGTCTATTACTGGTACATTTACCATAAATCAAAGTTATTTTATAGGAAGAAATTATAAAAAATTGGCATTTATTACCTCCTTGATATTGGAGACCACTTAATTTTAGATTGATATAACGATTTATTCAAAATTGTTACAGCTGTTTTTGAGAAAATTTTAACAATGTATAAAATGAATTTTATAAAATGCCACTTTCAGTCATTCAATTTTTGCAAAAAAGTTCAAGTAATGCTTAAGTAATGTTCAAGTAAGGCTTATGTAACTTTTATGTGCAAGGCCTATGTAAACCTTAAATTTGTAATTTCAGTTTCACACAACTTTTCACTTTTTGGTTAGGATGTTCAAATACAAATACCATTTGGTTAAACTTAAGGGACCTCAAAATGTGTATTTCTGTTTAAAATCTTGTTTCAAAATTTTTTACAATTGCAATAGTTTCCCTTACTAAAAATTTTTGAATTATTGCTTCTCCAAACCATATTAATAGCTTTTGAGATCATGAAACCTCTCCATTGGATATCATATTTCAATGAGAATAAATGGATGATGGCAACAGATTCCAAAAGCTTTGTGGCTGCAATTGGTAACCCATGCCTTAGTTGTTCCCTCAGGGATATATTAAACTTATAGTGGGTATTAAAAGAAAGAAAGATCAGTTTAGTCTTTGTTTGGGTGTGGCCCATTGTGCTATCTTGTGCAATGAAAGAGTGGACTTAAATGCTAATTTAGCAAAAAAGGTACTAATCGTAACTGCAATAAATTCACAATAGAAGATTGGATACAAGAACAAAAAAAAAACATTATTAGAAAATTTGGAAAACGAATGGATATTTAGAGTCTAAATTATTATAAATAAAAACAGAGTGCAGCAAATGGGCTACAAGCAGGAGAAAATCTAGAAGATAGGATACCAGATTGTGCTGAATACTGATTGATCACTACCTGTTTTCCCACAAATACCTTCTTTTAGGTCTAGAAGCACCCCATGCCAAAAGTGTTAGAACAGACCACTATCATTGAAACACCTATAAGTTGAGTTAAGCTACAACAATGAAGGATAGAGTCATAGCTCTGTTTGAATACTTAGTATAAAATAAATTTATAAGATGTAAAGGTCGTCAAAACTTTGTTTTTAGGCTGTAAATAAATTTTGTTAAGTATGTAGTTTTTCGATTTTATTAACCACTTTATTTTTATTTTATGTTTTCAACCACTAACTACTTTAACACATTCGTAGTGGCTATGGTTCCCGGGTTCTGATATTCGTCTCGATTTCGGCCGGGATTGTTAAGAACTAGCCATGTTTCTTTGATTTTTAACTGGGGCATATTGGTACAGGTTCATTTGACCAGAACGATACCTATGCTACTCTACTTTTCTTAGTTAGTATCATGATTCTTACCCATTCAATGTTGATGGCTCCTAATGTTATTACTTAAACGAATCAATTTATACATTTTTGCTTAGGTTCTACTTGCATAAATTACATGTACGTAAGTAGCTGTCGTCCTGGAATATCAATTAGTGTTCACTGCAACAATACGCTTCAATGACATTAAAGAAATCTTGAGCAGGGCCTACCGGGAAATTACTCGGAATTTTCAATATTTCTTGGTGGGGGGGGGTAGTTATAGAAATAGAAAATAAACTTTATTCTGGGATGATGTCCCCTTAAAATAAAAATAATGAACAGTTACTAGGGAAAAAATACATATCTTGGTCAAAAACTAACTTAAGAAAGATTCAAACAATTATTCGTTTTTTTATGTGCACCTTTTGTGAATATATAAAGTTTTTTTAATTTCTTTTATATAATTATACATGTTCAGGAGTTATTCATTCATTGTATTATTGTTAATCAACATCTGCAAAAACAAGAGGCAGACTATCACTCTAAATATGTTTCTGATGGTGAGAGGAACATTTTTCGGAATGTCCAACAAATTTAATAAATAATCAAAACAATTAACTACGATTATACCTACTTGTTTTTTGTATTTTACTTTTCAACTATTCTACGAAACGAATTCTTAAGGGAGCTATGAGAATTCTATTTAAAGGAGCCGCATTTAAAGGGTAGTCAGCCCTCCTTATTTCTATTTTACTTTATATTTTTTACTGTTTAAACAAGAGACCTATTTCTAGAAATTACTCATATGATGCATACACACTAGGCGAATCTTCTTAACATAACATGTTGGCGAACAATGATTCGCTTAGCGTGGACGGTAAGCAATCTTATCGGATGAACCGTTTTAAGCTAACGTTCATCCACACTAAGCAAACAGTGTTACCGCGCGCTCTGTGACAAAACCTCGTACTGAAGCCTCGTACATCCTCGTACGCTTCTTCATTCATAACTTGCACTGTTATAATGGCAGTGTTATTGTTTTGGTAATTATTTACGAACGGTCCTCCACTCGCCATCTTGGTTGAACTGGTATTATGTCCCGTGTTCTGATAACGTTTACGAAATCTAGCACCAGAAAGCGCCACTATTGCGGAGGGGTTGTCTTGTCTCCTCCACCTTACGTTCATTACAAATAATTACCAATTGTTATAATTAACCTTTACAATATTTAGTGCCCACCATTTTTTTTAACTTGTCGATTTCTTTGTATCTTCAATATATCGATTAACCAAACTTTATATTTCAGATGTTATTATTTACACATATTACCTACATCAATTTTTTTTACCATTATATATTACTAATATTATTTATAATTGTAGTGTTTATATATTGCTCGTTTTTGTTTTTTTAGCTTCGAGATTGAGCATTATTAATGCTTTTCGCTTTCCTTATCATAAATGAAAGAAGTTTATTAACTTAAGTTTTGTTTTAATTGTGACACTTTATCTCT